CAGGTAACATTTTTGTCATTTCAGGTACAGGTTTAATTTGACTACTTAAATGACATTGACTATATTATTGTATATTTAAGGATTTGTTTGTTAAACTCTGACAGTTCAATATACCGAAACCGATCGTAACAAATAAAAATCTTAGCAGAAATTAGACAGAAGTTATTTTTTCAATCCTATGTTTAACTATGTTAGTGTTCATTTTCAGAAATTTGCAAGTGGTTTCATATTTCAGTTAATTGAAAGTGCGTGTAAACGTTTGAAATATCAAAATATAAAACCTTCATTTTTACCTCCATGTTTTCATTAATAATGCTGTATAAGTAACACAAAATCCCAAATGTCTGGACCATTTTGTAGCTATACATGAATATTGATCCAGAATAGGAAAGATAGCAGCCATCTGAAATATAATTAATTTTCATTAATGTTTTCATACAACTTCATCGTTATATGTCATTTGAGTGAATCTGAACACAAGAAAATATTGAAGCAGTTTAAGATGATCATCAATGAAGATGAAACTGAAAATATCAATTGAAAGAATTATCTCGCAGATATTTATGCGATTTCTTCATAAAAACCTTTTATTTAATATGATGATTGATTAAAAATCCTAATTTCAAACCGTCAATGACTAACTAGAACTATGCTAGAACTACTAGCTCTCTTGTTTTGAATTTGTGAATTTTAACAACAAGTTTAGGATCCATTGGTATTTGGAGCATTCCACAAATAGGTAGTGTTTTCAGATCAATACTCAGTGATTTTGATATTTTAATTTGATACGATGATTGATTGAAAATGCCAACTTCAAAATCGCCAATGAACATAACTAGAACTTTCCTTTAAAATTTGTGAATTTTGACAACCAATTGAGGATCCATTGGTATTTGGAGCATTCCACAAGTAGTGCTTTTAGATCAATACTCAGTGATTTTGATATGTTAATTCGATACGATGATTGATTAAAAATCCCAATTTCAAAACCGTCAATGACCAATTAGAAGTATGCAGCTCTTTCCATGAATTTGAGAATTTTGACAAGTAGTTTAGGATCAATTGGTATTTGGAGCATTCCACAAGAAGTGCTTTTAGATCAATACTCAGTGATTTTGATATGTTAATATCATACCATGATTGAATAAAAATCCGACTTTCGAAACCGTCAATGACCAATTAGAACCCTCTTTCCCTTTGAATTTGTGAATTTTGATAACTAGTTTAGGATCCATTGATATTTGGAGCATTTCACAAGTAATGTTTTTAGATCAATACTCAGTGATTTTGATTTGATATGATGATTCATAAAAAATCCCAATTTCAAAACCGTCAATGACCAACTAGAACTATGCAGTTCTTTTGTTTCGAATTCGTGAATTTTTACAACAAGTAGTGCTTTTAGATCAATACTCAGTGATTTTGATATGTTGATTTGATATGATGATTAATCAAAGTAGAACTATGCAGCTCTTTACTTTTGAATTTGTGAATTTTGACAACTAGTTTGGGATCCATTGGTATTTGGAGCATTCTACAAATACTGCTTCTACATCAATACTCAGTGATTTTTATATGTCGATTTGATATGGTGATTGATTAAACTAGAACTATGCAGTTCTTTCCTTTTGAACTTGTGAATTTTGACAACTAGTTTAGGATCCATTGGTATTTGGAGCATTCCACAAGTAGTGCGTTTGGATCATTAACTCTGATTTTGATATGTTGATTTGATATGATGATTTATTAAACTAGAACTATGCAGCTCTTTCCTTTTGAATTTGTGAATTTTGACAACACGATAAACTAATGAAAACACTTTTTCACTCCACAGTTTCCAGTTCTACCAGAACTGGTGAAAATCTTGTGAATTTGTGAAAGCAATTCAAATTTCTGTGAAGGAAATTATATATATTTCCAAAATATTGTTATTTTTGTATTAGTGGCTCATTCTTGTTAGATTAATGTTTTTTTAGTCTTTCAATGTGACAAAGGCATAGTTAAAGGAGAAAAAAAAAGGGATGAAGGATATTGAACCCGTATGCTTGTCATAGATATAAGTTAACATACCTTTAATCTATAATTCACTATTATCTAACATTTTGACTAGTATTATCACACTTTGAAGCACATAGCCTAATAAATTCTATATAAAAATCAGTCAGAGATTTTTTAATTCACAATTTAAGACATTACGATTGATCACTCAAATCTGTTCAAATGAGAAAGTGTTCATTCCCATTTTCTCTTTCAGAAATTGTATAATATGATACTTTTAACTAAGAGTCAAAATATGTTCAGATCAGTAGCATATTTGTGAAATCGAGACTATTCTCAACATTCAAAAAGCATGTGATGTCTATTTCGATTCTAATGTTGCTTTTCTATTCAGTATAAAACGATTGAGTCAAAATATTTTTATATCAGCTAAGAGCAAATCTTTTGTAATATTATCAGGTGCACTGAAAAGTTCATAGTTTAACGTTAACACACAGATGGCGCTACCAATATTGAATCCATAATCCATATGAATTTCAGTTAACTCTAACCTTCAAAAGACTAGTGTACAAATTTCACAGTTGTCCGATTATCAATTTGTGGAATAGAACATTTTGTGTCAAGTGGATTTTGTTAGTTTGAAGACAATGGAAGAAAAGGATTATCCTGTGTTAATAAAGCATTGCTTTTTGGCGAAAAAAACCATTGTTGAGACAAAGGCTTGGCTTGATAAACACTATTCCGACTTTGCACCAGAAAAATCAATCGTTGAGAAGTGGTTTGCTAAATTTGAACGAGGTGAAATGAGCACCGAGGAGGATGCTCGCCGTGGCCGCCCCAAGACGTAGAAACGGTATAGAAAAATTGCGTGACAGCTATAATCTTTGTATCGCCCTCGAAGTCAACTATATTGAATAATAAATCAAATTTTGTCAAAAACATATTTTTCTATGCTAGCCTATGAAGTTTTTAGCCCAACTGTATGATCTATGAAATATTCTTTGCTAGTTCAGGCTTTCCAAAATTTGTTAGCCTGTTCAAAGTTTGAGTTTGTTCTGTAATTCTTCTAGGTGTAGGTTTTCATTATGTCTCAGTGTTGTGAGGATTTCAAATTTCTGATACAATTGGTTAGAATTACTGTGAAGAGTTTCAATCACAGTGGGAAGTCAACGTTAAATGATCAAGATTGAATTACCAAGTGACGGTCTAATGGTGAAAAATATTCATGAATTCATCACTACATTTTGAAACCGCTATAAAAAGTGTGACATGTACATTCTAAATCATTTGGGAGTTTTTGTAATTTAATATTAAACTTTGGCAAAAAAATCCAAAAGTGGGGTTACTTCTCAATGGAAAAAGTTATTTGAAATAGTTTTTCAGAATACAAATATTTTTAGACTGAATTGAAAGGGGTATTTTTAAAGTAGACATACATTTTTGGGTAAGAAATATTTTGGCTCTCTACTTCTCCATGTTTATACAAAAAAATGTGAGAATCTTGCAGAGGAAGGAAGAAAGCAATTTCAAAATACACTCATTATAAAGATGTGTAATTCATGGATCTTGTAATGTTATCCAGACTGGTGCTGAAGACGCAATTAGGCCGAAACATCAGATGTTCGCCATTGAGGATGACAGTGTTCCTTGTAAGTGAAATTTTACCTCTTTCATTTACAATATTGTTTAGCAATCCTGTGAATGATATCTGATTCAATTCCAAAACGAGGATTTGAAGTACAAACTGAATAGAAAGAAGTGTTTTTGTAAGTTTAGACAATGCTTTATTCTAGACATGTTTTCTTCAAAGTAGCGCCACTTTGAATGTTTGTTCTTCAAAATCAAAATAGATTTGTAAAAATTGGTTACAGTGGAGTAAAGCTTGAGGTCTGAGAACAGGAAAAAGTTGCTGGGGACTAGATCTGGAAAATACGGTGGATGCGGTAGCAATTCAAAGCCCAATTCATGCAATTTTGCCATCGTTTTCATTGATTTGTGACACGAAGCATTGTCTTGAAACAGCACTTTCTTTTTCTTTGTACAGGTCCATTTTTTCGCGATTTCGTCCTTCAAACACTCCAATAACGTTTGTAATAGTCGCTGTTTATGTTTTTTTAAAGATAGTCGATAAATATACCATGCGTATAGTAATAATAATGGCTTTTATTGATGGTTCCATACAATTACAGCCAATCAAATGACATGATTCAATATCTGCGTATGATAAATCATACGCATACGAATGATGTTTATCAAGCCAAGCCTTGGCTTCAAGAGTATTTTTTCGCCAAAAAGCAATGCTTTAATAACACGAAATTCCTTTGTATCCATATACAAAACTTCTCTGTTCCGAAGAAGCTTTACCTACAATGTCTTCAAGCTTCATAATGAGATCGACCCATCACTTCGTACTATGAAACTATATTTATTTCGATACAAAATGAGAGACAGTCTCTTGGCCAAGAATGAATAACTCATTGTTTCCACAGATAATATTTATTTATACTTCCAACATTTTTAAAATGAAAATAAAAATTATTTGCATATGAACAATTATGATTATACTTATAAATTGGGGCTGAACTAGAACTTTTTCAAATTGTTTTCAACTCCATTGTGTATTCCTGTTCTTATTATTTTTTATATGTACATATACTTTTTTGTGTTGCCATCCTTTCTGAAATATTTTTAGGTTCATATCGAACCATGTAATTGAATGGCGAGAGGGCGAGCCAGCATTATCAACCAAATACCACTCCACACACCGTGGGGTAAGTGATCATTGGATCCGAGAATCATGTGCCCTGAGCAAGCG